ACCAAATCAGCATTTTATCAAGATCATTCACTGGGTGATGTATTTACAGTTAGAGGTGGAGAAAGTGGTGTAAAAGTTCTGACCTCTTTGCTCGCAGCTGCAGCCCTGTATCAGTAGTTTATGCAATGGTCGTTTTCATGTACAGTGGACTTAAGAACTCCAATCCATGTCCAACCTCATTTTCCAAGTGAGGACACTAGCCCATAAACATTTTTTAATTTATTAGGGCTACCCAACTATTTAATAACAGATTTCTAACAGTGGTACTTTCTTTGTATTATAAACTGTCTTTCCATTTCTCACTTCTAATTTATGTGAGTGGGTGCTTTGCCTTGTGTATCACTTGTGTGTGGCGCCTGCAGAGGCTAAAGAGGGCGTAAGATCACTTGGATTAAAGTTGCAGAACGTTGTCAGCCACCATGTGGGTGCTGAGGATAGAACCCTGGTTCTCTGGAAGAGCAGCCAGTGCTCATAACTTCTGAGCCATCTCTCCAGTCCTTCCCCTTTTATTAAAAAATAAACAAAACAGGTGCCATAGTTTGGATAAATGTTCCCTAATGACGTTAAATGTTTGTTGCCAGCCCACAGTGCTATTAGGAGAGGCTGGAGCAGTCATGAGGTAGTTAAATGGATGCAGTTAGGTGACTGGGGGGGACATGCCCTTGAAGCACTGGGTCCCTGACCCCTAATCTCTCCATGTCTTTGTTTCTCAGCTGTTTGTCGTCAGGTGAGGTGGCTGGTCTTCTCAGTGCTTCTGCTATCATCTATTCTGCTGCCAAAGCCGGGAGCACAAGGCCAAGAGACCAGAGGCAGAGACCCCTCTCCCCTCAAACCATGATCTCAAAGAAAGCTTTCTTCTTTGTAAGTTCATTTTATCACTGAAACAGAAAGCCGACTAACAAATATAGCACAGTCTAGGGAGTGAGATCATACATGATTGTTTTATGTCTTGTGGCAGCAGAGCCTTCACAGGAGGCAGTCACACAAAAGAGGAACCAAGCCACTCAGTTGGGAAGCTGTATTCCAGGTCCAAGTCACTCAGACAGTTGGGAAGCTGTATTCCAGGTAGAAGAACAAGGACTTGGGGCGTGTGTGTGTGTGTGTGTGTGTGTGTTTCAAGTTGTGTTTCTAAGTTCTTGACAAATACTGATCTTTAACATGTAGAAACAGGAAGTCTGAACTGCAGAATTTTGTTCCTCTTTTACTTTGGTGCTTGTATCAAGCCCAGGACTCCACATAAGCTAAGTACAGACTCTGCTTTTCTACCTCTAGGCCCTTAAATTATTCTCGAAACACTTCCAACTCTCGTATTCTTACTATTATGATTATCTGAAACATGTTTAAATAATAACTATTAGGGCTGGAAATCCTGCTCAGGGGTTGAACTCATGCCTCCTCGTGTGTAGAGACTAGATTTCCATCTCCAGTACCCCCTACCCCCACAAAGAACAAACAACACACAAATACAAAGAAAAAACCCCTCAAATCCAAATGATTAAATTTAGACATATTTAGATTCAAATTCTGGAAAATGCAGAGAACATTACTGGGTAGAATTGTAACAATATCATGTTAACTAAGAGACAACTGATACCAAGGTCAAAAGAAGTTCCATTTCTGAGGGGAACAAAGAACACAAAATTATAGTTTAGTTATGCTGAACCAAGATATCCCCGAACAGTGTCCAAACCACACGTGAGGTTTTTTAATAGGTGACCTCCACGGTTTATGGAGGTGCTTCCCTGGCTAGGCATGAGTCTTGACTCAAGCCCACTTTGATGCATTTGTTAATGAGGGTAATTCCAGCTGAGGAACGATGAAGGCACACTGGATACTTTCAGTTGTTTACTCAACTTTTCTGGAACACTCTGTTCTTCGACCGTTAGCAGATGTGCAATCCTCTCCCAGTATCTAGAGTCCACTTTAGAAAGGCAGTCTTGGGGACTTCTTTTTCCTTGCTTTGGGACTGTCCTGGCTCATACACAGGCTCTCTCACATACTAAGTAGGCACCCTACCACTGAGGTACATCTCCAGTCTAGCTATTCAGTTTTTTTTCATAGAGCATGCAAATCTACTAGTAATTTAACTTATTGATACCATGGGTTGGGAATTGTAATGGTAAGGACTTATTGTGAATCAAACTCATTATTTCCTTGTTCTTTTTCTTAAAATGTATGAATATATGTGTGTATGTATATGTGCATATATGTGTGTATGTATGTGTATGTATATGTGTGCATGTATGTATATATGTGTATGCATGTATGTGTTCATGTATGTATGTGTATGTATATGTGCATGTATGTGTATTAGGGTTCTCTAGAGTTACAGAACTTAGGGGTAGTCTCTATATAGTAAGGGAATTTGTTGATGAGTTACAGTCTGTAGTCCAACTCCCCAACAATGGTCAGCAGCAGCTGGGAATGGAAGTCCAAGGATCTAGCAGTAGCTCAGTCCCACAAGGCAAGCAGGTGAAGAAGAGCAAGTCTTCCTTCTTCCAATGTCCTTATGGAGGTCTCCAGCAGAAGTTGTGGCCCAGATGAAAGGTATGTACCTCCATGCTTGGATCTGGGACTTGCTTTGTCTCAGATGACCTTGAACTCAGAGATCTCCTTGCCTTAGTCTCCTGGGATTCATAGCTACTGTGCCTCCAGATCTTCATGCCAAGATCCAGGTCAGAAACTTGTATCCCCTAGCCTCAAGATTAGGATCACAGGTGAGTCCTCCAATTCTGTATTGTAGTTCATCCTAGATATAGTCAGGTTGACAGCCAGGAGTAGCCACTACAGTATATATGTGTGTGTTTGTATGTATGTCTGCAGATGTGCCATGATGTGCATGTGGAGGTCAGAAAAGACTGTGAATTGGAAGTTGATTCCCTTCTTGTAACTTTACATGGGTTCTGTGGCTTGAACTCTGGTTTCTAGGCTTGCATAGCAAATGCCTTTACTTGCTGAGCCATGTTCCTGGCTCAGTTTTATTTCTTGAAACATTGTTCAGAGTATATAACAATGGTATCAGCTTCCTACTTTATTCCCAGAATGATTCAGTTCAAGCTGGGTGTCATGGCACAGGCTTATAGTCCTAGAGCTCAAGGGAGGAAGGTGACAAGTGCCAGACAGCCTGGGCTACACAGTGAGATCTTGGTTTAAAAAAGAAAACCATATACAAACCAAGAAAACACTAAAACGCCTCCTTGTCTGCACAGGCAGGGTCCAAACACATACCAGCTTTAAGGAAGATGGGCAGATTAAACTGTGCCATACCCCTGCCTTCTACCTGGGTTCCAGGAAGTGGTAACCTCAACTTCCGACAGTGCCATTATGTCTTCTCTTGCTCTGGCACTGGTGTCCCTGGATTCCCTCAGTTACATCTCTATGCAGGCTGCTAAGGGGTAATTCTCATCAAGAAGTAGACTACTTTCTTGCATGTTTTGGATTTCCCAACTTTCAGAAAAGGGGAATTTGGAAAAACATAAATTTCCTGGGAAATACATTAACTGTGAAGATGGAAGCTGGAGCAACGTTTATCAGGGGAAAGGTGGCAAGACTGGAGAGGCAGAGAGGTTAGCAGTTTGGTCATTCAAGACTTGTGGGCATTGAAAGGTCTCTAAGTGGAGGGTCACAGAGAGCCTGGAGCAGAGGCCTGGCAGGATTAGGCTGAGGTTCTGAACACACGCTGTAGGATACTATCCGTCAGTATACAGGCCGTTCAAGGGAGGCTCCCACAGAGGAAAGTACAGGTAGACTATCACAAACATCTAGGCGAGCGTGGGAATCCTGCAGATGTAAGGAGCATTTGGATTCTGATGAGTCTGAATGCAGGTTTGGTAGCATTTCAGACTTGAGGGTGGTACCAAAGTTGCTGAGCTGAGCCTGGGAGGATGGTGTGAGGAAGATGGTATAGGAAGGGCTGGAGTGAGAGGGGACTGTAGAAAAGTGGTTTGATTTTGATCTGCTAAGTTTTCGAGGGTTCTCATGCCTTCCGAGCTTCAATAAAGAAACAGGGTTCAAGGGAGACAGACCTGGAGACAGAAACAGAGGATCAGTAGCACACAGATGGCATCTACAGACAGGGTTTTGCACTCTGAGCCATCTTAGCTGTGCTCTTTGGGCAACTCGAGTTATTTGCTCTGATGAAAAAGACTAAAGAAGCACTGTATTTGTCCCAAAGCATGAGGATAGAGAAGCTCTGAGGGTGACAACACCTTGTAAACAATCGAGGGCCATTCAGACTGAAATGCAGCAGATGTTGCAGTGTACTGAGGATGAAGAAAGAACATCAGTTTGGAGATCCAGGCAATGAGTCCTAATGCGCGGTACACAGAGAAATTATAGGCAAATGTGAAGGTATACACTGCCATCATAATCCTGTTTATTTTACTACAGCCCAGTGTTTACAAGACACACACACACACACACACACACACACACACACACACTATACAATACACGGTATTATACATTATACACATTATTCTATATTATATACACACTTACACACATATTATATATATTATACACACGCACACACCCAGAGCTCTCCAAATTTGACAAGACCTTCACATATGAGATCTCTCTGAGGTGCACATCAGTCTTGCAAGGAAGGGATGATAGTGATATGGGAAGTAACTGATCTGAGAGGGCGGCTGGCCTGTAGAACATCCTAGCAGTTGGTCAGAGCTATGTAAACATGGGATCCTCATTTCGGAGGCCAACCTGAATATGAACAAACCATTCCCTACTCAGAACATTCACTACAAAGGAGATTATAGGAGGGCCACAGCCGTACCCCCTCCAACTCAGAGTAACTTCCGGTCCCCGATGCCCAACTCTTGAAGGTATGGGACCTTTACACCTATCGCGAGACTGTGATCCGCGCGTGCTTCTAGTTGCCAGGGCAACAGCGTTCCTTGAGGCAGCAGGAGACTGCTGCCTCTTTCATCTTCGCAGAAGAGGCGGTGGCGGTGGCGGGAAAAACCGGTCCCCTTCGAAGGGAAGTGGATGACACTCGAATGTCAGTGGAGCCAGTCAGTGCCTAGGCGTCCAGCCTTCGTCCCCATCGAGAAGTTGAGGGACCGCATGGACTACGGGCAGAGGTTGGTAGCCGCGGGGCGTGGCGGAGGACAAGGTGAAGTCGTGGCCTGACAGAGGGTGAGCAGACAGACTCGGTCCCCGGGCACGGTGGGTGTGGCCTGTTCGCCCAGGCCAGCGTCGGTGGCCACAGGGGCGTGGCTATGTTTGCGAGTTTCAGAAGCTACTTCCCCTGCGGAAGTCATGATCTCTGCTGAAAACTCTTCTGCATTAGTCCATCTTTAGGAGCCTTCTTCCCACTGAGGTCTGGAGCACTAGTCAGTAGCATAGACCTTAAACAGCACACAGTTATGACACAGAAAAAATGAAAGTAGAAAAAGTTGGTAAACATTGATCTGGGACTTAACCTTCCTTATGATGGAAGAAATGTAAACCAAACGTATAGGTAGATACCTTTGGACATCCACCAGCCTGGGGAATATGACTAGGCGTTTCAGACGATCAGACAGGGAGCAAACGATCTGTGGATACAGGCAGTTTTGCCTCATCACACCAGATCATGTACTATGTACGTGAGCTGATAAAAACAAATGTAATAAAACGTTGGCATGTATGAGCAGTTATTTGTTACCATTAGAATCTGGTCTCATCTCTACTTCACTGAATAGCATAAAGTATTTTAATTTTGATTCTTTTGATACCATAAAAAAATGCCTCGTGGATCACTAAGTGAGGAAATGTATGAAACAAACATTTGTTTTTGTCCCAGTTACTCTTCTCACTGTAGTTCTGCAGAAGAGTGATTACTAATAACCATGCAGCAGAGTCAGAGATTCATGTCTTGAAATCTACTCTGCTAAGGAAACGAATCCATTGTTTTTCAGTTTTGCCTCAGGCAAAGATTTTAGGACGAGGGCAGAAAGCAGCCATGTTCTTTGCCAAATACACGAATGTTCTGTAGCCCAGTTGCTAGTATTGTCTCCCCCTGGAACCTCTTGAGGTCTGTGGGCCTCTGCAGTCTGCTCTGCTCTCAGCACTATTGCCATCTAACCTCCCGCTAGGATGGCCCTTTAAGCTCTGCTTACAGCATCCAACCGCTTTCCTAGTTCAGAGTCTTACAAAGAAAGCCTTCGATTGACTCACAGCTTCAGAGAGTTAGAGTTCATGATGGCGGAGCAAAGACGTGGCCAGCAGGAACAGCCGAGAGCCCACATCCTGATCTGAAAGTAGAAGGCAGAGCTAAGTGGGAAGGCGAGAGTCTGTTGATACCTCAGAGGGTGCTCCCTCTGCCCAGGAAACACCTCTTCCAATAAGCCTATACCTCCTAACCCTTCTCAAACAGTTCTACCAACTGGGAACCGTTCTCATCCAAACCACCACACAGGCTTAGTATATCACTGATTTCCGTGCAAGCTATCCTTGCATCTCCTTCCAGTTCCTGGGAGATTGCATATTTTATATTGACTCATTACTTTTAAAAATCAGTTTTTACTTATATCAAAATAATATGATCCAAATGTTAAACTGTAGTATAACATTCACGATGGAAGAAATAATTGAGCAGTTCCCGGTCATATTTTTCTGGAGACAGCCGTCTTGAACTCTTAAATATTATAATTAATTAACTATTGTTTGGCTTTATCAATTTCTGACTGCCCTCTTTGACTTCCTATTATAACAGATTCTCTTACACCCCTCCTTTTGGACACTGTTTCCCATCCCATATCCTCAGTGAAGGCATACTCAGTGCGTGTGTGACTTGGTGCACAGTGGGCCATGCTCAGTGCACATGTGACTTGGTACACAAAGGTCCATGCTCAGTGTGCGTGTGACTTGGTACATGTTGTGTACCTGCTTGCTTGTGCAGCTCTTCATTTTTTCCTGTGGCGTTTCTGTGTGACAAGTGATTTCTTAAACACACAATGCACCTATCAGATCCCATTTCAATGGTCTGTATTCTGACTTCTTTTCCAGATGGCCAAATACACAGATAGTCTGTCAGTTACATTTTCTGTGACCCATGGTTTATTTAATTTGATATGTTTTGGAGGAAGCATAATAGTAGCTGACCAGTTTTTGAAGCAGATGGAAGGGTTTCTGGAGTCTTTTAGCTGATCCACGGCACAGCTAGGTCCCCGTGCCTTGACCCTTTTCTGAGATGTATTATATTGGCTCTGCCACATCCTTCCAGTTCCCTGCTCCTCTCAAGCTGCAGTAAGCCCTCCTTGACAGGATGCATAGGGCATGGAAAAGACATTTGGCCTTTTAGTGACTTACGCTTTTCGGTGGTGATGTGACGGGGCCTGGGTGATCCATCATCCCACAATAACAATGTCAGACCCTTCCTGAGTGAGCCCAAACACTTTTACAGAGTGTGAATAATGTTGACATCAATGCCTTTTTCAGTTGCTGAGTGGGAAGAGTGGACCGACTGTTCTCTGAAGTAGCAGCATTGGCACATTGAGCAGTTAAAGGGCAAGCCATATTATTTCTGTGTGCCCAAGGGAAGCTCCAGCTTGGTAATGTTTGTGCTTCCTTCTGTGTGCAAGGCCTCTTTGGACTCCGAGTCTATGGGCCACCAAAGAACACGAAAGACAAGCCACTTTGTAGAATAAGGACACTGCAGTTTTAATGCTTCATGTAATTATGAGCATTTAGAAAAGACTTGGCAGGAGATATCTATTCATATTTAAGCTGGAATCTTCCCAGTTTCTTCTAGTTCACAGTATGCCTGTTGTCCCACCCTCACCAGGCAGGTCTAAATCGGTCTCTTTCAAGGGCATGGTTTGGAAGGATATATCTGCAATGTTTGTCTTCTCCCTCCAATTTAAGCTGACCTGCCTAGTTTAAGCTAGTCTCACTTCCAGAATCCACACCAGACACACAGTAGCTAGGGTCAGGGCACGTCTGTGATAGTGCCCTGCATAAAGCCCTTGAGGAGGTTGACAAAGTACAGCTGGATAATGCAAGTCTGTCCGCTAATAAAGGATGTAGGTTTTAGTCTCTTGTGCTAGTCAGAAGCAGAGCTGCAGATTTTCAGAGGGGAGAGCTGATTAGGAGAGGGCAGTGCTGTGGAGGAAGGGGCTCCAGAAAATGTGGCTCGAAGGAGAGAGACATGTGAGCCGTGTGGGAGGACCTGGTGAGGCTTATGTGGAACAGGAAAGGCTGGAAGAAGGAGAGTGAGCTCAGAAGGAGGTAGCTGGGAGGACTTAGCAAATCATCGATGGAGTGGGTCTAGGCTGAGGGAGGAGGCCTGGGAGTGTTCTTCTGGGAAGAGCAAGGATGTGGCATGTTTTTTGATTTTTTGTTTTGTCTTCCCTGCATTGAGATAGTGACACAGCATTCACATCTGCCTTCCTCACCAGCTGCTATCAGTATCTGATGCATAATCCATGTACGTAAGATTCTTTTGGTGACATTACAGAGCGCTTGCATGTGTGACTCTGGACAGAATAGGTTCTCAGTACAATTGACTGTAAACATAAATTGACTAACGAGCCCTTTAGGCCTCTAAGTCACTTGCTTCTTAATTCTTTTGGCTTGATTTAGGACATCAATGGATATTATAAAGGGAAACCTAGATGGAATTTCAAAACCAGCCTCAAGTTCAAGATCACGTCCTGGGAGCCGAAGTTCAAACGGTTCTCTGGAGGTGCTCTCGCCAGAACCAGGGCCTGTCAAGGTAATCTGCTTGGAAAGGGACCCAGCTCTCAGCCACAGCAGTTAGCATCCATTGAGATGGCATTTCTGTAGATTGTTCAGGACGAGCACAGTCAGTTCTTTTTCTCTCCCCTCTTCTTTCTCATTGGGTATATTTAAAAAAATCGACACCAAACTTTGTTAAGGTTTATGTGCTGTTGGCTTCATAAGGAAACTTTGTATTCCAGTGTCTAATATACACCCACTGGCATTTACTATGAAAATGATTCAGTATTAAGAAAATAGGTGGCTCAGAGGCTAAAGTTCTTGCCATGTAAGTATGAGGACCTGAGTTGGAATCCCCAGAACCACATAAAACTGGGAGTGGTGGGACACATCTGAAGTCCAGTGCTCTTCTGGTGAAGTGGAGGGGTTGGAGGCAGAATTCCCCGGAGCTTTTGGCCAGCTCACCTGGTATACATGGTGCCTAGAAACAGAGACTCTGATGCTTGTCATGAAGAGAGTGTCACACCAGTCAGTTTACTTCTTAGTATCACATAACTTCCATCCTTGAGGTTGGTACTAGGGGTGACCATTGCTATGGTAGAGTGTTGAGCGTGTGGGTACCGCTAGTGGCTGAGGCTGGAGGGAGGGCTGGAGTAGACAGTCCTCCATAGAGTTCCTTGGAGAACTCAGCTCTCCGTGGGATGTATTTACTTCTATTGTGACTCTCATCGCCCTGTGTAGGTTTCTGAGTTTTTCAAGCTGTCTTTCTCTTGACTCCTCCATAAATGTCCCTTTTTGTCCTCTCTCAGGAAGACACAGCTAGACCAAACTGCTGTTTTCAGAATGACTTTTGCTCAAGTAGAAAGGGAAGCTGAAACAAAATAGGAAGCTAAGAATAACCGAGGCATACGAGTCACATTAGAAGACTCTTATTAGAAACACATCTCATTCAAAATAGGCATGTCTGAGTCACTAAGGTCACTCAGCGGCTACACAGGGAACAGCTGCTGGGGGTGGCAGAGAGCAGCGCCTGAGCGGGGCTCATAGGGGCCAGGTTCAACTCTTCCCCAAGACTGTGGGACAATGGTATTTACTTGGTGAACTATTATTAAATTTAATTTGCAGTTAAATTGCACTTCATTAAAGGCCACACATTTCTAGGAATTTTAACACTAGCATGTGTGTCTACATGTTTCTTTATATGCTTTTATTCATAGAATGTTAAATTCTATGAAGTGTGAAGTTTTATGAAAGTACAGTGTCTTTTAAAAATGTCTTTGAGTATTATAGTTTGGAAATTCTTTTGTTGAAATTATCTTTAGATTGACATGGTAAACAAGTTGAATTCTGGCAAAGAGGGTCAGACATCAAGCAGTAGTGTGGAAGAAAGAAGGAATAGCAATGATGATAAGTGGGCAGACGACTCCAAGACAAAACCAGCCAAGGAGAGCTCAGATGAAGACTCAGACCTGACACAGCCTCAGGTGACCCCTGAGCATTCAGGTAGGATGACACGGGGTAACCGTCTAATCATAACTGCAGATACTGTATTTAAAATATTAGAAGTATAATTTTTACAGCTGAGTAAAGCAATAAAACAAGAAAAGACAGCTTTTAGTGAGAAATTCACCTCTGTTTTTATGTATATAAGACCAGTAAGAGTATTTAAATACATTTACAAATTCAATAAAGCATGTTACTTAATAAAATAAAATGATTCTTGTGCTCATATTACATTCATCAAGGGGATTATTTCTGTATCGCATGACATAATTCATGGATTACTTTTCATGGCTGAACCTGTAGACTAAGCTGTATTGGGTCATTTATCAATACCCTTTAAGAATAACTAATGGTGATGAATAGCTGAGATTTTAAAAGATATTAAATTCATTCTGGCCAGATTGAGTTAGAGGAGCAGTTCTCAGTTGTGACGTGCAGAACTCCTGGGATATGGGTGTCTCAGACCCTTGGGTGTCTCACTTCATCATGACACGGAAGTACTGTTTGCATTTTGGCCTGCCGTACAGGCATTTGTAGTGACACTCAGAGGTAATGGTGCATAAGCCGGCCAAACGGCCAGGCCGGGCAGTGGTGCCAAGTTGTACAGGCTTGCAGTTGGTAAGAAACGTCTGAGGGAGTTGAGATTAACTGGGCCCAGTTCCCAGGATCAATCATTTTTTTTTTTATCTTGTGTGAGTTAGTTTAAAATCCCTGGCATGTGTGGACCACCTATGGACAATGAGCCTGGGATGCCAGGATTGAACTAGGCAAGCAGCATGATTTTAGAAACCTCTTTATTAGAGTAATATTCTTTTTTAAAAATAATTTACTCCTTTTTTCTTAAAAAAGCTTTTTACTGTGGCTCACTAGTGCATGCCTGCACTGTCAGTTGGTCAGAGTCACTTTAGCTGTCAGAGTCTCTGCTCTTTATTTTATATGTTTCCATATAGGCAGTCTAGCAGAGTGACAGAGAGACAGCTTGGGACTTGAAATCACAATAGAAGCACTTCTGTGCTCAGTGCTGTAAGTTATTATCCTCTGGAAGGGTCTAGTCATCCCACTGGACCCTTCAGTGTATGTCTCTCAGCATGATTAGGCATTCATATGAAAAGACACTCAGTGTTCACGAAGTTGGGACTCAGTACTAATGTCGTAGGTGTCACTGTTGGCTGTAAGTATTGGTTGAATGAATAAAAAGTAAAATCAAAACAAAACTTTGCTGTTTTTTTTTTTATTAAACTTCAAATCCATTTCTACCTTCAACACAATGCAGATGATCCCAAATTAGAAGAGACGGATGCTGTACTTCAAAATGCTATTCGTAAGATGCACAGACTTGACAAGATATTGGCCAAAAAACAATGTAGAGAAAAGGAAGTTAAAAAGAAAGGTCTAGAAATGAGAATTAAGCTGTGGGAAAAGCTCAAGGTAAGAACTGTAAGAGTTAGTTTCCTCTAATGAGAAGAAAGGCGTGGCCCATGGGAGAGTTAATGTGGTCCTGCTGTTGATTTATTTTGCAAAAGTAGTGGCTGTGTGTGTGTGTGTGTGTGTATTTTATGGAACCAGGGAGGATAATTGGTCTGTGACATTCCAGTCTTTGGGCCCTGCTCCGGCATGTTCATTACCCATGGTACCAGCAAACCTAGACTGGCCTCCCTCCATCTCTGACTAGGAATAAATAGGATGGCTACTTTTATCAAAGATGTAGGCCTGCTCTTTTTTCTTTGAGCTTATAGTTTGAAGATCAGCACACACAAAACACCTTGTTGGTTTGTTGTTGATTAAATAAACTTTGGGACAAACAAGTTGTGGACTTGATACTTCATGTGCTACTCAGATTCTCCTGAGAAGTTAAGCGGCCTAAGCCTGAGCCGTGCTGCGTCTGCCTCCGTGTCTCCACATTTCTGTGCCTCATTCCCTCGGCCATCACTGGCCTCCTATTCTCCCTGGCATTGAGAGGTTGACGTTCAATAAGTGTTGGCACTGTCTCTTAGAGCCACTGACTCACATCGTGATTCATTCCTTAAAGCAGAGCAGCTGAGTGAGGGACCCCAAAGTAACTCACGGGTTGATTGTGACAGTCATCCCTTGTCACTGACTGACTTTGAGGGTGATTTCCTGGGCAGTAACACGAGTTAAGAATGAAGCGAGCAGAGATTCATTTGTCTGAGCGTCCTAGAAAGACTGACGGGGCAAACAGAAAGCTGCAGCCAAACTTAAACAAGGCCAGTTGACATAATTAGCAGAAAAAGTGAATCTGTTTTTTGCTGAAACAAGAAGCAAGGTTTAATTTATGTTGAAATAAAAATTACAAATAGAAGCATAATAAAATATGAGGCCAACTCTGAAATTTCAATTTAATGGGGGTATCTGTGGATAGCTCTATACATCAATATATACATATATGTATATAACTCACTATATAAACACACATATACATATATGTATTACCTGTAGATAACTCTCTCTGTGTGTATCTAATATATATGGAAACTTCTTCTGTTTTGAGAAACAGGAAATATTAACAGATTTCCTAGTTAAAGGAATGCAAACGGCCGAACCTTCCTGCATGTACATAGACAATTGAGAACGGGGTTGGACTAAAAACCAAGGGGCATATTTGCTTTCCTTTTTCATGTTTAAACTTAAACTGTTCTTCCCTCAGTCTGCAAAAAACTCTGAAGACTTGGAAAACGACGAGGAGTTGGGAAACACAAAAAAGTTTTTGTGCTTGACTTCAAAATCTGCAGGGGCAGCAGCTGGTGAGTAGAGGGAGGGGCGTCTTGTGCTCTCACCCCATCTTGGGCTGAGATGTCCTCTTCCCTGTGAGTGTGACCCTCTAAAGAGCTAATGATTGATCATGTTAGGTGGGATTAGAGGGAAGAGTCTGAATGTAGGTCTGTTTAGTGTTTTAAGGGCTGTGTCAGGGGGAGAAAGAGAGCCGAGGAAACCCAGAGATAGGCCCTGGATGTCTTTACACTCATTTCCTGTCCCTCTTAGAGTCAAGATGCTATTCATGCCCTTGGTCTCTGCCTGCCGGTGTCCTGTGCAACTCCTTTGTAAAAGTGTATTGCTGATTTGCCCATTTCTTGTGATATCACAGTCCTACCTTTAGAGAGCAGCCAAGTTTGCTTCTTCCTTTCTTTGCTTTTCGTTGTCTCCCTCCACCCTTTCCTCTCTTTCTTCACTGTAGGATAGTTTCAGAATCTCTGTCCATATATCACAGAGTTGGTATTCCAGTTTTGTGTGGACAGGATGCTCTCTCTAAGAGATCCTCTGGATTCTCTGAGAATGCTGGCTTCCTGTTGTCCTCTACAAAGGGCCTGTTCAACATTTCAGACCCCCAAACGCTGCTGGATTCAGATTCTACATGGTTCTGAGTGGAAGTGTAGTTTGAGGGACAGCACTTCTTTACATGAGTTCCTTTATGGGCCCAGCACTGAGAGCTCAGAACCTTGAGCAATTAGGGTTTACAGTGCACCAAAGTTTTCTCCTAGAGGCTGAGTGTTCCCTGTGCGTTGCCCCTTCTGTATTGAAGGACTAATTTGTAAGTAGACTTTTCAGGTCTATACGTTTTTTAATGAAAGTGATAAGACATATACTGGAAAAAAAAGACAGCCTATTAAATAAAAGGTTCTGGCAAAAGATAATAGCCATCTGCAGAAGAATGAGGTTAGTTACATCAATCTCTCTCACCCCACACAAAAATCAATTCAAAGCAGATCAAAGATATTAATTTAAAACTCTAAACACTGAAAATACTAGAGAATATTAGGAAATAATATTCTAAATTGAACCCCAGTAGTACAGAAAATAGCTCCAAGAATTGACAAATGGAATTTTGAGGAGTTATAAACACTTGATGGACCAACAGGAAGGCTCAACAGGGAAAGACACTTGCATCCAACAACCCAGTTCAACCTCTAGAGCCCACAGCGTGGAAGGAGAACTGACTCCTGCAAGCTGCCCTCTGACCTCCACACACCACACAGACAGATGTATGCACAATAAAATATATGTGTGTGTATAAATTAAAATGTTTCATCACAACAGAAGAAACTACAAATTAAACAGATAGCCAGCAGAATGGGAGACACATTTTTTTTTTTTTTACTAGAACAGACAGTTCTCAAAAAGAGAAGTACAAATGACCAGTAAATATTTTTAAAAAGCATTCAGCATTCTTCATTATCAAAGAAACACACTAAAAACTGTTTAGGTATTCTATCTCCCCAAGTCAGAATGGCTGTCTTTGAGAAAACAAATGACAGCAAATGTTGGTGAGGGTGTGGAGAAAAAAAGAACTCTTCCTCACTGTTGGTTGGAGTATAAACTGGTGAAGACATCTTGGAAATCAGCATGGAAATTCCACAAAAACTAAAACTAGAAATCTATCGTCCAGCAACACCACTTCCAGGCATCTACCCGAAAGACTCCATAGCCTACCATAGAAATACCTGCACACTTATGTTTGCTGCGGTTCTATTCACAACAGCCAGGGGATGGAATCAGGTGAGATAGCCCAACCTCAGAAAGACAAAGAGTACATGCTCTTGTTCATATGACGACCTAGATTTTCATTTTTGTATATGTGTTTATGTGCGAGTGAGTGTGTGTAGAGATCAGAGAACTAGAAAAAGACCCAAAAGAAGGGAAAAGCAGCTTTGAGGGAGGCAGCTGGTGAGGGTGATAGAACACAGAACACCGAAGCAGGCAAAGCCTATGGAGTATTCTCCATGAGGATTCCCTTCTTCCCAACTAGGGTCAAACTGGCATAAAAACTAACTGGTGCGCTTACACCTACCCATAGATCTTTAAATAAATAAAGGGTGCCTGTAAGTGTCACTAGGAAAGTAGGGACCCGCGTGCTTCCTTTTCTTGCTGTGACCAGGCAAGTGCCAAGTATTTGTACACCGTCCACTAGGTGGCAGCATCTAGTTGCAACCCGTTTTTAAAGGCGCAACACTCTTAGCCTGGAGCCTAGTTTGACTGGAACTTAAAATTACACACCTATCATTAGTCCCTCATGATTCACAGACATCTTCCCCGAGTGACAGTTCCTCAGAGGAGACTCTACCTGCTTCTTTTGCTGCTGTCTCCTTTTTCTTCTCTATGACGTCTTTAGCATTTACCTTTTAGGCCACACAGTTTCAGTCTCTTTATCCTGCCTTCCTACTATCCTTATGTCTCTATGGTGTAATTGTGTTAGTTATCTATTGCTGCATAACAAATTCTATCAGAAACTGGTATATTAAAAAAAGCATGTATACTCTTAGAATTTAGGCCATTTTGGAGGAGTGTGGCTGGGTGGTTCTGACTTGATTTTCTCATGACCGTAACTTGATGGTTAGTGTTTCTCACTTTTGGCAGGGCCTCTTAAGTTTCTTACTACCTGAGTTCCACTGTAGGATACTTACATGTCCTTGGCTGCTTGTACCCCTTAACATGGGTAGTAAGGACTCAGTAACTGGGTTGTTTTTAGTGTTTCCTTGATTACTAGACAATATTAACAACAATATAGTGTTTTCTATACTATTGCTCATGTATCAGGGAGTTTTGGCAGGTTTCATGTATTTATTAGTATCCATTGGCTTTATGTAGTTCTTCGCTGTTACTACCTCAGTTGGTGACTATGCCAACACATTTTCACAGGTTCTAAATGAAATGCAGAAAAGAGTAACTTTTTATAAATTTATGATTAATTACAGTTCAATGTATAATTTTAATTTTACCTGATTACATAGTGGTTTATAATTAACTAGATCATGTTATTCATTCCGATTATCTTTAGTTTGTGTGGCTTGGCTCTTGTTAATTTTGAACATGTCAACCAAAAAAAAGTGTTAATTTTTGTGTCTTCTTCAATAATTGTTCCCATTCTCAACACTGTAGACATACTGTTGATGGTTATTCAGTCCATTTCAATAGCTATTTAAATTATTATAGATTTCTTTCTTGATAAAATTAATGTTTTTAAATTAATAGATTTAAATAATGAATCTATCTTTTGTTCCTAGGTCAATCCTCCTTGGTAATGGAAGATTATTCTTTTAATTGGTACTGATTTGAATGGCTGAATTTATTCAGAAGTTTTATTTCTATAAAGCAGGATTAGAGGCAGAGAGATGGCTCAGTGGTAAAGATGCTTGCTGATAAGCCCAACAAACTGAGTTTCATCCCCAGAACCTACAAGGTTGAAGGAGAGAACTGGCTCCTTCAAGTTGTCCTCTGACCTCCACATGTGTACTGTGGCACAAGCTTGCCCCTCCCACATATATATATCTGCACACATGAATAAATGAATTAATCAAAATGCAGCAGGATTAGGTTTTGTGTATATGTATGTATGTGTATGTGTACATGTGTGAACATTTGTATGTGCGTACATGGATGTTGTAGTGCGGGGTGGAGTAGGACTGGGAATAGTGGGTGGAAAAACCAGCTGGCTCAAGTTGTCTCTTGGAGGCTGTTGTCTGACTTGTCAGCGTCTTTCATGTCCACTGTCCTTCATTTGCTGGTTCCTCTGGAGTCAGCTTGGGCAGGACTTTCTCACTCTAGGCTCAACGTCTCTACATACACCTTAAAAAGAATCCACTAATGTAGCACCTCAAATCAATATTTTAATAGTAACTTTCCATATTGTATGTATTCTTGCTGTGACTAATTTTCTGGTTTTCCCTACTTAAAAAAAAATAAAAAGGAGATTAAGATAAAAGTAAGCAGTCTGGAGAGATGGCTCAGCGGTTAAGAGCACTGACTGCTCTTCCAGAGGTCCTGAGTTCAATTCCCAGCAACCACATGGTGGCTAACAACCATCTGTAATGGAATCTGATGCCCTCTTCTGGTGTGTCTGAAGACAGCTACAGTGTATTCATATACATAAAATAAATAAAATAATTCTTTTAAAAAATAAAGAAAAAAGTAAGCCTGAGCCAGGCGTGGTAGTGCATGCCTTTAATCCCAGCACTTGGGAGGCAGAAGCAGGTGGATGTCTCCGAGTTCAAGGCTAGCCTAGTCTATATGAGTTTCAGAACAGCTAGGGCTATACAAAGAAACTGTTTCTCAAAACAAACAAACAAACAAACAAATAAACAAACAAAGTAATTAAACTAAAAAACAAAACCAAAACAAAAAAACAAACAAAAAAGAAAAAAATATGCTTTTAAATTTTAGCCCAACTCCAAATTCACAGAAAAGTTACAAGGACAATACAGAGATTTTTTTTTTCCTGTATACACCACCCCATCAGGAGTACCTTCCATGTCTATGGTATGTTTGAAGTGAAACAGTATCAACATGGTCTTATTGATCAAAACCCAACTTTATTCATGTTTCTTTAATTTTATCGAATGTTGTTTTCCTGTCCCAGAATCCCATGCAGGACACTACATTGCATTAGTGTCTCCATAGACTGGTCTTAGTTGGGATGCTTTTCATACTCTCCTTGTTTGTAATGGTCTTGGGAGTTTTGGGGCACACTGGTCTGGCATTTTGTAGTGTGTCCACTGGTTGGAATTGCTCTCATGATTTTCCCATGATTAGACTGAACTGTACACTCCGGGGAGGAGGGTGACAGAGCCAAAGTGCCATTTTCCTTACACCACAGTGGTAGCAAGCATACTGTTAGTACCCCTTCCCAGCTGAGGAAGTGTCTGTCAGAGATTCCCACTGGACAGTCACTCCGTTTCCCTATATTCCAACTGTGACCTTTATGAGGAAGTGTTTATGTACAGTCTCTGTTTGAGGAGTGGGGAGCCATGCTTTGCTTCCCTGAAAGCAGAATGTGGGCCTATGTTATTCCCGTTTAATCTGTAGGGGGATCTTCTCTCTCACTCATCTCTGTCAGTATTAGATTGGTGTTAGTGGATGTTAATTTTATTCTTTGAGGTAGAGTTCAGTACTACTTATTGTATTGGCTGCATTTTCCTGTTTGGCTGTTAGAAGGTCTCTTAGCTGGTACCTGCATCTCTTTGACCCATTTCTGTCACTGTGGGATTTGTTTTGTTTCTCTTGCCAGGCTTATCTTCTCTTTTTTGCTTCTGACTCTTCTGTATTTGCCACCTGAGTCTTGGGATCAGCCATGTCTCTAAGGATCCCAATTCCTGTTACTGGACAGTGATCTTAGACATCAGGATCTGGATGCTAGGTACAGTTTACTCTGGGAAAAGAAATGAATGTGCATATATGAACCCATTATATATATGTCTATAAGTATGCCTGTATGTAACCATCCCTGTTAGAGCTAAAACTGAGTTCACACGAAGTCCTCTGTCTGGCTGTACTTCATCACCACCTGGACCATTATGGCCCAACCCTCTTGCTTATCTGTAACTCTGTATTCCAACTGTGAGAAACTTGTTCCCACTCTCCACTGTTTCTTTATGTAACTGTGCAATTGCGTGGTATACAGACAGTATTGTTAGTCGGTGGAGAACACTTTGATCATCTGGAATATCATTCTGATGTTTAGTTTCTGTTTCCTTCAGTCCTATAGCTTCATTTGTCAGAGTTAGAGTGTTACAGTAAGTGGTACCTTTCATATGTTTCTTTTTAATGAGGTTCTTTTATACATTTCAATTGTCTTGCCACATTTCTGCATTCAAGGTGTGATTTCTCCTAAGCGATTTAAAAAAAAAAACCAAACAAACCTGCAAACATTGATTTTCTTCCTTCATGCTCCGATGGTAAATGTGTTTAAGAAAGATGTAGTGCTGTGCATTCACAGTTATAGCATTACATAGAATAGTCTTACTGCTCTAAAAGAACCCTTCGTGTAAAAAGAGTTGAAATCCTCACTTAACTCTCCTTCCCTTCCCAACCTTCTAGCTTCCACTAAGTTTTACTTTCTTCGTGGTTTTCAAGAATGTTGTATGATTGGAATTCCCTCTCCTCTAAAAAAGCCTCTCCAGATTATATTCTTTCACTTAGAAGTATGTGCCTGTGTCTTTTCTGACACGGTAGCTAACTTTTTTTGTTTGTTATGAATAATATTTCATTCTATTGGTTGCTACTTGTTCTCGTTGCATTTTTGTTGCTATGATAAAATACCCCAACAAAAAGCTATTTAGGAGAGAAAGAACATTTGTAGTTCATAATTCCTGGTTACAGTCTATCAGTGTGAGGAAGTTGCAAGGGGAGAAGCTTGAGACGGGTGGTCACATCACACCCACAGTCAAGAGAGAAGTGTTTGCATGAGCCCTCTTGTTTACTTGTGCTTAGGTTGATTTCTCTACTCCTAGACAGTTTAGGATCCTCTGAGTAGGGGAATGGTGCCTCCCACAGTGGACTGGGTCTTAAATCAGTTAACTTAAGGCAGTCTACCACAGACATGCCCACATGATTTTAGGTTGCGTCAAGTTGACATTTAAAGCTAGCCATAATTTGTTCTTCAGGAGCTGCCAACCTTATTTATTTATTTATTTATTTATTTATTTATTTTGAAATGGAGACTCTGACTGGGACCCGAGTCTTAATGATTCAACAAGGCTGATTGGCCAGTGAATCTCATGGATCTTTCTGTCTCTGTCTTTTCCAAAGCTGGGTTTACAAATATGCACCACCACATTCAACTTTTTTTGCATGAGTTCTAGAGATTGAATTGAGGTGCTATGGTTGCGCAGTGGGTACTTTACCAACTGAGCTGTCTTTCCAGTCCCAAAATGTTTAACTTTAATGAGCAATTTATCATTTTTAATTTCATGAATAGTATATGATCTGTTTTTGTTTTGTATTGTTTTGTTTTGAGATACAGTCTCACAGTATAATTCTGGTTGGTCTGGAACTCATTATGCAGGCTCTGTTGTCCTCTAACTCAGAGATCCATCTGGTTCTACCTCCTAAGTGGTGGGATGAAAGATGTACACCACCACACTTGGTTTGCTATGTTTTTTAAAACAAAAGATATCTGTGACATAAAATGGCAGATTCAACATGTCATGTTAATGCACAGAGAAAATTGATTTTGAAGATTATCTTAGTTAGGTTCTATTGCTATGGGAGAGCACTATGACCAAAAACAACTTGGGGAGGTAAGGGTTTATTTCAATTACACTTTCAGGTACAGTCCCATCACCAAGGGAAGTTGGGACAGGAACTCAAGGTGGGACGGAACCACGAGGCAAGAGCTGATGCAGAGGCCACAGAGGGGTGCTACTTACTGGCTTACTTCTCCTGGGTTTTTCAGGTTGCCTTCTTATAGACCCCAAGACCACATGCATAAGACTGGTACCACTCATTATGGTCTGGACCTTCCCACATACTTGTCTATAAGCAAATCTTAGACATTTTCTTAACTGAGAGTCTGTCTTCTCAAATGACTCTAGCTTGTGTCAAGTTAACATAACTAGTCAGAACAAAGTTATACAGTAATTAAATTAGCTGATACAAAAAAAAAATCACCATGAAACAAAAATGCAGTGTCCTATTTACTTCGTGGAGCTTAGCTCAAGAGAAGGAATTGTAAGAGAAGAACGCCAACTTCCACGAATCTCCCAAATGTACTCTCTGTTTTAAATAAAAAAGCGTTCGAGCACATGTGCCCACTTAGGTGGGAGTGCATGCCATGGCTTGTGTGAGAAGGTCAGAGGACTTTGTGGAGTCGGTTCTCTTTTTCTTGGGATGGAGCTCAGATCGTCAGGCTTGCTCAAGTGCCTTGGCTCCCCAGAGCCATCTTGAAGGTCTTGTCTTTGTCTTTTTAAGACAGAGTCTCTTGTAGCCCAAACTGGCCTTGAACTTGCTGTCTCTCAGAGGATGACCTTGAACTCAATTTCCTGGCCCTCTTGCCTTCTCTTCCTATGGCTGGAGTTGCAGGTGTTTGCCACCATGCCTTACTCAAAGACATTTTGTTAATGGCCGACTATACATTTAAAATCTTCAGCTTTGAGGCCTAAAATAAAAGGGAATTGCATAGTTCTGTTGCTGACTGTGCGCATAGTATCACAAGCACGGGGGTCTGTGTAGGTCATCTCTAGAGAGAGGTGCTGCTCTAGTGTGCTCGCACGCATCTAGGGAAGTGCTGTGTGGCTGTCTTCAGCGGTTCATCTCTGTGGTGCATGTGAAGACGGCCTGATTGCTATATATAGGAATGCCACTGACTTATTTTTTCTTTAACAGCTCCTGTGTATGGAGGGGATTGAGGAATAGTAGAATGAGTATTCAATCCTCTCTCTTCCTTCAATGTCGATAACTTTATTTTGTGGAGACTGAACAAGTGTTTTTTGTTTGTTTTGTTTTTGTATCAGTAAAGCCATTGCACTATGAGTTCGAAGACGCCCTTTTCTCAGTGTTTCATACTCAGATTCCTCCAGAAACTTACGAAAATCACATGGAGAAGGGTATGTTTAACTTGTGTGACTATACAGATTGCCACAAGGGGGCGATAGCTGTATACAGAAATAGTCATGGATTGGAGGGGGCTTGGTATAATTTAATCAGCTAAGAAGTAGTAACTAGAGTTCAAGGTGAGGCATAAGGGCTGAGCATGTAGCTCAATGCCACAGAACATGCTAGCACAAAACAGACGTGGCACACAATCCTTTGTGAATTGGTCCATGTTGAGGTTACTTATTGAAACTTCATTATTGCATTCTATTTCTGGATCTTTGAAAATTTGCATAATAGTTCTGAAAAAAGTAGGCTGAATACTCCCTGTTCCTCAGGCTCCTAGGTGCAGGTGTTGTCTCATAGATGGATCATTTGGGGCCGGACACCCACCTTTATCTGTCCTCAGTGTTTTGGCTGGTTGTGAGAGATGAAGAAATAGTTTTATTCAGGGAAGAGCCCCCAGTTGGTCATCCAGTACCAAGTGGTCAGCCCTGAAACCATATCATACAAGTAACTTTATGTAGACTGACAGGTTGCATTTATGATATTTATGATAAATATCTCTCAATAATGAAAGGAAAAGAGGCCATGATTTGAGAGAGAAAGCAAGCAAGGCAAGTACCTCATTAGCAGGGAGGTTAGAGGTAGGAAAAAGAAGGGTGAAGTGATGTAATTAGACTTTAATTGAAGATGATTTTAAAAAGTAGACTGCAACTGATAGAAATTTGGGTTATGGAGAATAGGGAGAAAATAAGCCTAAGCCAAACAAAAAATTAAAACTACTTTTCTGGGTCTAGAATTTAAAAAATACTTTTAAAATATGTGTTTCTAAAACATATTTTAATGTATATTTAAGGTGGATTTTTAGTACGATTCAGAATTGTAATTGTGAGCTTATTTTGAACTTTTTCAGTACTAGATTTTACCTGTGATGTGGAGAAAAGTGAGCCATTGATCAAAACAGAAAAACAACCATTTTCAAATACAGAAGCGATTGAGCCTAGGAGTGAACATAGCCAGGGTTCCATCAGGCAGAACGCTGAACACAGCCAGGGTTCCATCAGGCAGAATGCTGAACACAGCCAGGATTTCATTAAGCGGAACATTGAGGTGGGTAGCTAATGATTCAAGAGACAGAATGTGGGAGAAAGCCAGTGGCAGAAAGAGTCATAGTAATTTACTTACTGTCTCTCTGGGTCCGAGTGTGGATAGTGTGTGTGTATGTGGGTACACATGCCTGTGTGTGAGGAGGCCAGAGGAGGAGGTAGGCTGTCCTCATCTACCACTCTCTGCCTCTGTTCCTTGAGACAGGGTCTCTCACTGGACCTGGAGTGAGCCTGGTGACTACCAAGCCCAACAGTCCTCCTGTCTCTGCCCCTGACTTGACGTTTGACGTTCTAGGTGCCCACCTAGCTTTTTACATGGGTCTTGGGGATTTGAACTCAGGTTTGCATGGCAAGTACTCCTACCCTCTGAGACATCTCAGCCATTCGGGATCTTGAAATAGACATTTTATCAAGATGATTGTGTGCATAATTGATTTAGTATATATAACCAAAAGAAAAGCTTTTTAAAATAACCCGTGTCTTCACTGCTTTCTCATCTAATTACATCACACCTCCCATCTTGCCCTGCTTCCTTCTATCCTAGTTCATCTCTTTCAAATTTGCTGCCTGCAACTAGAATTTATTTTATCACTTTCTGAAATGGAAAACAGCTTTGATCAATACGTCCCCTCCAGATTTTAACTTGCACACCAGTAAAATGTGTGTGTTTATTTACTGAGTCATTTTTATTATAATACTGATTGTGTAGCTACTTTGTTTAGAACTTAGGATGAAAAATGCTCCTGGCAGAGGAGCCAGGCTGGCTTGGAGAAACCAGCTGGTAATCTGCCCTCCCTGCTCCTCCCAGTGCTCGGTCACTGCCCTTGATTCAGAGGCTCAGCCTTGTTGCACCACAGGTCAAGCAACCTGATTTGATTTGTCTTTAAAGGAGACACAGAGCAGTTAAGGGTGTGGGGACTCCTGTATTGGCCTGGGATGCTAATTAATTAACCTACGAGAAACATCTGTGGGGTGGCCAGACGCTCACACTAACTGCTTGGACAGCTGGTCATTGGGAAACCACACTGGCAAGTGTGAAGTATCAGCAACAGCGGGGTTGTGTTTCCTCAGCTCAGGCCAAGAATCTGTTCTTGCAACTGGCATGCTGTGCCAGGCAGCTTGGTCCCTGAGTCAGGTCTGCCACCGCCAGGCTGGCCTCTCTCTGCCACTCTCAGTCTTCTGTGCCTCGTGTTTGCACTATCTCAGGGAACCTTCTCCAATTTCATTTGGCCTTGTCCCTCTGCTGGCCCATCGGGTCTTGATGTACTGTTTCCTTTTCTAAGAACAGCAGAGTTTTCTCTGAGCTCTTGCTGGTATGCACAATTGCTTCAATATAGTTTCTCCCTCTTTCCCTTTTATGACACCAATAGAATCTTTATTTAAATGCCTTATATGATATTCTAGAAATTAATTCATTTTTGAGATAAGGTCTTGTGGAGCTCAGCCTGGCCTCAAACTTACTTGGTGGATAGTTGAGGATGACCTTGAACTTCTGATACCACCCCACCCCAACCTCCACTTCCCTAGTGCTGGGATTATAAGTGTGGACCATGAAGCCCAGCTCTAAGAGGTGCCAGAGATTGATACAAGAGTTTCATTCATGTGAGGTAAGTCTGATTTGTATGTCCAGCCCCAATATTCTAGAAATTTAAAAGCAGTTTCATTAAGTGAATGTGTGATACCAGAAAAAGTCCAAAAGAGTCCTTCGACTGTGTCTCAGCAAATGCTTTTATGCTTCTACCTCTGTATATCCATATCTTCTGCATCTATACCCTCTACATCTATACAGCTGCATCTCTATCATCTAAATCTATATATTTGGAGAGAAATTTGAAATAAACTTTCATTTAAAGATGTTTATGTAAAAGTGACTTTTGAAACAACTAATCAGAAGGCCTGCTTGAGGCCAGTGAGATGACTCAGTGGGTAAAGGGTGGGTGTCCAGAAGCCCGAGTTCTATTCCTGGGCCCATATAGTAAAAGGAGAGAACTGACTCCTTCAAGATGACCTCTGATCTCCACATGTGTGCTGTAGCCAACACATGTGTAGGTGTGCATTTGTACATGCACACACATGCAGACACACACAGACACACACGCACACACACATGCATTTACACACACACACACAGAAAGAGAGAGAGAGAGAGAGAGAGAGGGAGGGAGAGAGAGAGAGAGAGGGGAAGGAGAGAGACAGAGAGAGGAAGGGTTGCTTTTACTGGAAATATCTTTGGAGAATGACTATTTAAAAAGATTTGTCATAAAATGAAACTACCTGGCAAATCAGAATGTCTAACCTTTCAAAGTTTAACTTAGTATATCTACTTTGTAGAATTCTCACTTTTTTTTTTTACTGGACTACACGTTGCATTGTATGCTTAAATTTCTCACTAATACATCCTGTAGTTGGCCAAGCATTCCAGAAGCCCGGTGGTTATGGTTGAAGGAGAGAAGAAGAGGCTGGATGAGCTCCTGAAAGGCTGGGATGATACAGACTCAGGATTGTCCAGTTCTGAGGTGTGCAAGCTGGATGGATTGTCGACGACTTTCCCTTTCCTTACCATCACTGGGCTGTCAACCTATTAGTTCAAGTGTATAGTCTTTCCAGTTAGAAGACATTCTCTGCATTAAAAATCCTAACGTTTTCAAATGTATTATTGGTCAGTTCACTAAGTCTGTAAAGTGGCATGCTAGGCTTAGTTCCTGATGCCATAAGACTGTGTTTCTCTATGCCCCCTCTTCATCCATCCTGGCTTCACAGTATCTCAGTGTGGTTTTTAGAATCCTATAGGATGCTATTCTATTCCTGCCCAGTCAGTCTTTTCCATCCAGTTCCCTGGGGACCTGGGAAGAGCCTCTACTATAGGAGAAAATACAGATATTTTTAGAGCTGGGGAGTGTTCCACAGAGTGCAATGGACCACTGTTCTTACAAGTTTTCCTGTTAATTGTGTAGGCATGGTTCCCCCCCACACCCCCCCACACAAAGAAACATGCTCTTCCACGTTACCTGAAGCACTTGGCACTCTGGTCTGACTTTTATCTCCCTGGGCTGAGTAAGGCTATGATAGGACTGGTGCTTCTGGACCCTGCCCACATCCTCTTTTATCTGCTACCTGCTTGTGTGTCAGATTGCCTGCAGCCAGCTGGAAGCCCAGGGCACACAGGTGCAGAGGATAGCATTTACTGGAGGTCCAAGGGCAGTGTGTGTGTGGCAGCTATGGCCACAGGGGAGGATGTACCAGGGAACGCTAAGGTCCATGACTACCCTGGCTGCCAGGATCCTGCAAATTTTTGAGAGAAGCTAGAAAATCAGATTTTTAAATGGGAAACATGTGTTTTAAATGTCAACAATTAATTCCTTGAAAAAATCCTTTGTGGGAAAACATAATACCCCTTCTCCCACTCCAAATTCAAAGCAATAGCCAGAACCTCACTGAACACAACCTCTGAGGGTCCTGTGGGAGCTGGGTGCAGGGACGGAGGCAAGGGTGGGTGAAGCACACTGCAGAGCACCAAGAAATTCTGAGGTTACTGCAGCTTTGCTAACCATTGTCTTATTAACCAAAATCTTGTAGCAGAATAGACGCCCAGGCTTCGTTTTTTAGGTCTGTTACTAACTGTGAAGCTGGCCAGCCAGTTTCTGTTGTTGGGCAGTCAGTTTGTGGTCCTCTCAGACAACTGTTCTTGCTATGCTTTGACAATGAAGTTTTGTGATTAATATTATTTTGGCATATTGGCTTAGTATTTATGTTTTATCCTGCATATTTTAAGCTTTATAATATCAATTCAAACTATTTTTGTTATTTTGAACTATTTTTTTGTTGTTGCTTAGAATGGCTACTGATAATATTTAGGACATTTCCTGACTTCAAGTTATGTATTTAATGGTCACATTTGATCTCTTTTATCCATTTACTCTTTTCTCCTCATGTTATTTGGGAATCCAGTTCTATTTATGACTTGATTTTGTTATTATCCCTCAACTTCCTTGTGTTTTGTAAGCCCTGGGCTCTGGTGGAGAGGTATAAACAGTATGTTTTGGTGTGAGACTATGGTGTGGAAATGACCTGCTCACCTTGGTTTTCTCTTAGGGTGATCAGTGTGGTTGGCTGGTTCCAGGAGAAGGCTATACCCTTGCAGCCACCGAGTCTCAGCAGCTCGCTGAGATTGACATAAAGCTTCAGGAACTCTCTGTGGACTCTTCCACCATCTTCAGCCTTGAAAGTCAGGGTGATACGGTATGTTTTTTCCTTCCTTCCTTCCTTCCTTCCTTCCTTCCTTCCTTCCT